AATAGTAGATGTGGCAGACATCAGTCCTGATAAGTAACCTGGGTTGTATTATATGTGTCAGATAAAGCCACTGAAGGCTTTGGGCAGGAATGAGATCTGATCACTCAGGCTGCTAATTGAAATTGTTCCTCCAAAGAGGAACAAGACAGAAACTGGGAGCCCTGTTCGGAGTTTACTGCAGTAGTTAAGGCAAATGAAGATGATAACATGTACTCTGATGGGTAACAGAGGAGAAAAATGGAAAAAAAAGCATTCAGGATGTCTTAGAGCTAAAGAATTGATAGATCAGATAGTAAGGCCTTTGTTTGCTTTCATTTGCATTTGACATTCTAGTAAATAAGCAGACTTCAAGAAGACAGCCAGGTGTGTGAGTCTTGAGTTCTAGGATGAAGTTTGACTTCCTGGCAAAGATTGTTCTCAAAGCCCAATGATACAGTCTGCTTATTTGTATCTCTGACTAATCAATGTTCTTTAGAAGAAAAGAGTTAATAGACACAATTTGATAACAATGATGTATATAAATAAACAAAATGGTTTATAAACTATGAGCCTTTTTTAATTGATAAAGCATTGTTATTTTAGAGATGAGAGTCTTAACATTGATAATCAGAATAATTATCTTTGAGAAATTTAAGTGCACAGACTGGTTTCAGATTGCCTGCCTATGAATCCCAGCCTCCCCACTTACCAACTAAATAACATTGGGCAAATCATTTAACCACTTAGTGCCTCAATTTCCTCACCTGTAAAATGGGAATAATAGTAAATACATCATAGTGTACTTGTGAAGATTAAATGAGCTAATACACATAAAGCAATCAAAATATTATGTGCCAGCATCTGGCACATAACCACCACTCAACAAATGCAGGTTAGCGTTATTATCTACAGTCTCCTTATACTGCACATAGAAGTGTGTTCACACTTCAGTTTTCTAGTTAGATGCTTGGTAAGAGATGAATCAAATATTCAGAATAAGCTAGGGAAGCACATGCAAAATCCTCTTCAAAAAAACAGGCTGAGAATTTGGCAGATTGCTAAAACATCCTCTTTAAAAGTAAGCTGTAGGGGTGCCTGGGTGGCTCAATTGATTGAGTGTCTGACTCTTGATTTCCGATCAGGTCATGATCTCAGAGTCATGAGATCAAGCCTTGCCAGGATCTGCACTCAGCAGGGACTCTGCTTGAAATTTTCTCTCTCTCTCCCTCTGTCCCTTCCCTGGGCACTTTCTCTCTAAATAAATAAATAAAATCTTAACAACAACAACAAAAAAAGTAAGCTATACATGTGCCAGTCATTCCTAAATCTCTTATCTCTAGCCTTGACCCAACCCTGGAGCTCCAGATTCATACACCCTGCTACCTGCTGGACATTTGACTTGCTAACTTAAGAGGCATATTATTGGAATAAAAAGGGAAAACAATCAATATTCTCTTCAGTAAGTGAATGATCAAGTGACCAACTCCAACTGCAAAAACTCTTGGCTCTGCTCCATAAGTAACAAAATCCCTGCTGGGAATGACATTCTCAGTTTTCAAGCAACACTGAGAAAGTGCCCAGTTTAGTCAACTACATGAAACCATGGGCACTGTATCTGTTCATTTTAGCATTAAGGTTTCACAATTATGATTCTAATGCATGTATTTACTATAAATAACCTCAAATAATTTCTTAAGGTATGCAGGGAATAAGGAAATAAGTAAAATGAAATGTCAGATGCCATTAGATGACTCCTAGACTCTGTTACCTGAGCACACTGGCTGAATACTCTTCAGCACACACAACTCTCAGTGGTCTTATCCTGGACCATGACTCCAATCACCAACAATGATGTCAATAGGGTGACATCCCAGGTAGACTAGGACAGTCCCAGAAAAATTCTAATAGCATGGCCTTTCATTCCTAAAAGTATTTAATTGGGTGAGAAATTATATATCTATCTACATACATGATCACCAAGAACTCTGTACATCTAGCAGCATGCATGCATTTATTCAGCTAATTATCTCTCAAACACCAGGTGCCAGGTCCCATGTTGGGTTCCAGTAAAATGCAGAATTCTAACACAAGAGTGGAAGTTCTGAATAGCCATAAGATGTATGCAAAAAAGGGTCATATGTAGATCAAGATCAAGAGCTTTAGTAAGAGTCTCTGAATTACATTTCCTTAGACAATAAGTAGATAGCCAGATATGTTAGACAGACGTTTTACATAGTGTGTATCAGTGTTTGGGAATCTGTATGTTTGTACAGTTTGCTTTCAGAAAACATGCCTAAGAATTCATGACCATGAATGCTGAGCCTTTGTTATAGATGTAGATTGTTAAAATGGCTAAATGCTTCTTGCTACCATAAGCGTGAATGGAAAACAGATGGTAAGGAAAGATGTTTACTTTTATAAGCAAGTAGCATAGCACACAACAGAAATAAAGGCATCATTATAACTATCTGTCTTTTCTCTGACTTAGGGCACTATTTCTCCCATGACTTTCAAAACAAAATACAGTTCACACATTTTAGGCTGATCTTTCCCCCATTAACATAGGTAGAATCAGGAAATCTGAATTGGTTCGGTTGTGATTTTTTTCTGAATTATAAATACCATACAGATTATTTAGCAAATCACTGACAAATAATCAAGCATATTTCAAAGAAGCATATATGCTCACTATACTTAGAAGCAGTTAACAAAGCAAATGCCCCTGATACATTTAAAGTCAGCAATTTTGAAATGTTAACCTTAGAAGGAATCTAAGAAGCAGGGTGCCTCTAACATACTATCTTGATGGGAATGCTGGTAACTTACATGAAGGATGCTATAAATCCAATGTTTAGAACAGTTGGTTTGTTAAAACCCTTAAAAAGATCATCTCTGGGCGCCTGGGTGGCTCAGTAGGTTAAGCCTCTGCCTTCGGCTCAGGTCATGATCTCAGGGTTCAGGGATCGAGTCCCACATCGGGCTCTCTGCTCCGCAGGGAGCCTGCTTCCTCCTCTCTCTCTCTGCCTGCCTCTCTGCCTACTTGTGATCTCTGTCTGTCAAATAAATAAATAAAATCTTAAAAAAAAAAAAAAACGATCATCTCTAAGGATACCTGATTTTACTGATCATGATACTGAGGCTCAGTAAAGACACATTGTAATAGTGGATAAAGTATGACTTTGAAACTCAGGCATACTTGTGTAATCTCTTCTCAGATCTCTTCTTTGCTGTGTGTTTCTAAGAACATTACTGAACTTTTTTGTTTCTCATCTATAAAAATGAAAGTAATACATATCTTTTAAACATATTATGAAGATTAAATGAATTTATGTTTATGAAAATATCTGGCATATTAAAGACACTCAATACACATTAATTTTTTTCCTTCTAAAGGGTGACTAACTTGAGAGACATGGCCAGTAATGGGCAAGAGGCAAGGCTAGAATCAAGACATAGGATCCCCTTTACCACTCAAAAGGAATTCAGTTATTTCTTAAACGATTTCTATACTTAAATCACATCATAAAATATAGCCTTAAACACCTGAGTTGAGGCGGGAAGGGTTATCAAAGTAAATGTGTAACACCACAGCCTGCAAGAGATATTTCTTAGAAACAAAGTAGCAACAGAGTCAGGAAGTTTACTGGAGGAAGTATTACACTGGCTACCTTTTTAAAAATGATATCCACTCAGTTTGTACCTGAAGGCAACTCTTCTGGAAACAATGTTATAGAATTTTGCAGCTTTAATGGATACTTCACAACACATATTTCAAAATTAATGTTTGCAGCAAGTATGTATCAAGTATCAATCATGTGCAGTGCCTGGTGGGCAATAGGACATGGACCAGACTTTGCTTTTTTTTCCCTAAAAAATATCTTAGAATCTGGTAGAGAAGAGAGGTAGACTTTGAAGAACGATTGCAAACATAATTGTATACTAAGCCTCACGGAACTTGAAAGGTTCAAAGTCAGCCTGTGGTGAGCAGTTACTAAATGCCACCTACTTAAAGATAAAATATCCACCACATTGGCAGTGGGTACACGTAGCATAGTAAGTTGTTTGAATTGAATTAACTAAATTCTAGTCTTGTTTCTGACACCAACTAGCTACGAGAACTTGTGAAGTTACTTGATATCTTTAGGTCTCATGTTTCTCTTCTGCAAAATGGCTGAGTTCAAAAGGATGATTGGTTTCTAAACCTCCTTCAGGCTTTAACAGTCCAAATAACAAGATGATGATGATAGCAAGAAAAACCATAGCTTATATTTACCTCGCACATACTCTGTGCCAAGCACTGTGCTAAAGTGCATCATTTGTATTATGTTTATTTAATCATAATAATCTTATGAAATTGGCATTGTTATCCGTAATTTATAGTTGAGGAAAGGGAGCCGAAGCAGTATTAGTGGGGCCAGAGTCTCCATTTGTTTTTGTTTTCTTAAGATTTTATTTACTTGACAGAGAGAGAGCTAGCCAGAGAGGGAACACAAGTAGAGGGAGTGGGAGAGGAAGAGGGAGAAACAGGCTTACACCCCTCCCCCGACCCCACCCCAAGCAGGGAGCCTGATGAGGGGCTCGGTCTCAGTATTCTGGGATCATGACCTGAGCCGAAGGCAGATGCTTAACGACTGAGACACCCAGGTGTCCCAGAGTCTCGATTTGAGCAGAAGCACTCTGAATCTAATCCAGGAGTTACCCTTAACCACTACGCGCAAACTCCCCGAATTCAAGAAAAATATACCTATTAAGAAATACGTAAAAGGAAAATCTTTCCTTCAGGGTCTTTCCTGACAGACGGGTAGCCCTGAGTTAAAGCCACACTGTTCACCTTGTAATAAGGCTCCCGCACCACTTCATTCCCGACGCTCGTGCGCTCCCACAACTGGGCACACCACCGCAGGGTCATACATCGTGACCGCCAGAGGCTGGCATGGGCAGAGGCTCACCTAAGGGCGCAGGGGTTGGCGGGGCGGGGTCGGTCAGAGGAGGCCCTGCAGCCGCGCGGGCAGAGTGAATACCTGGGCTGCTGGCTGCTCCTGCAGGCTGGTTCTCCCACCACTCGTCTCCAAGGTCGTCTGCCATCTCCAGTGGGACTAGTTGTGAGCGGACCACCAAGGGAAAGCGGACAGTGGCAGATATTCTCCTTGTCTCCAAGCCAAGAGGCCAGAGTGGGCAAACAGCACGCGGAGTCTCTCCTCAGACACCTTCGCCTCCGCCCCGCGGCGATGACGTCACACCTCCGCCCCGCCTCCCCGTCCCCTGCGCTCATTTCGTCGCAGTTTCCACACAAGTGCTGATGAAAAAGCTCTGTCAGATAACTAAAAATAAATCCTCACAAAAGCATAAAGACAAGAAAATGAAAAACCCCCGAAGATTATTATCTTTTTAAATAACTTCTTTCAAAACTCTTTGTGTCCTTTTTTTGTTGTTGTTGTTGGTCGAAAAACTATTGACGAAAGTGTGAAACAGGATGCTAAAACTATTTTTCTCTATTCGGTTTCAAAGGACTCCTGCCGCGGGAGAAGAGCAGAGCAGAGCAGAGCACGTGGTTGTGTTTTCGTTTGTGTGCGTTGGGGCGTCGGTGTGTGTAGTTTGCTCCTGGGAAACATGTGCAAGAATTCATGACCATGAATGTTGAGCCTTTGCTGTAGATCTGTGTACCGCTATATTTAGACAGTATGGGTTAAGAAAATTTGATTGGTCCGGAAGGACTCGCCCACGAAAAGACTTTAGTGGTCCGGAGGCTCAGAGTCCTCGGTCTCCTTTTCTTCTGAAACAAGAGGAGCGAGTCAGTTGCTGCTTAACTACAGGTAAAAAACCTACAGTATTTCTTGTCTTACAATTCCAGCGTGAAGTGGCAGAGATAGGATTGATAGATTATGGGAAAGGAAAGTTAGATAAGAAATACGAGCTTGGAAGAGGAAGTGTCATGACCAATAAACAGGTTAAATGATGTTCTGTCTCCTACTAACCTGGGAAATAAAAAAGAGACCTCAACGAGACACTGTTTTTCATGCAGTAAATTGACAAAATTAAGGAAGTCTGACATTACCAAATTCTAGAGTACATGCATCAGTGGGAATTCCTTCACCTTACTGGTGTGAATGTAAATTGGTAATAACCACTTGGAAAAGCATTTGGCACAATCTTATAGAAGTAAACCTACACACTGCATGATCCAGCAATTTCCACTCTTAAATATACACACTTGGTAAACGCTTGGATACTACAGAACATTCACAGCAGCATTGTTAATAATAGCAAAAAAGTGAAAACAACCGAAATATATTTGTATAGGAAAATGGATAACTACGTTATAATATAGCCATACAATTAAGCATAGGAAATGAATCAACATATGTAATTAGTTGGATATATTTTGGAAACATAATGCTGAGTTTTAAAAATGTCAGATGCCATTTTATAATGTTCAAATACAGGGAAAACCAAAAATTGTTTAGGTCAAAAAGTTCATATGTGATTTTAAAGAAAGAGAGTAGTAAACACAAAATTTAGGATATGGAGTAACCAGGAGATGGGATTAAGAAGAACAAAGGTAAATGTAACTTACTGGCAAATGTCCAATTTAGATAAAGTGGAGAGTTCATAGATATGCATTGAATTCTTACGGTTTATAATTTATAGACATGTTACATATATTTTTGTGGCATTTAATAGTATTTATTTACCTAATTTAAAAGATAAGGGAAAATTCACTTAGAGGAAAAAGACATTTTCAGTAGTTAAATTAGGTGCTATGAAAGAACTCACTAAGAATTCCAATTAGTGACACAACATCTCAAACAACACTCAAAGCTTCCAGATAGTTCTGGTGCCTTTCCCATATGATTTCCCTTTCCCATTGTTTCTGATATTATCCCAGGATCAGTCTTCCTTTTGTGTCCTGGATCCCAACCCCCCTTTACCTTCTAACCTCTTCCTCTTCAGTAAATGTGAGTACCATCCTTCTGGTTGCATTGTCGTCATCTGATTCACTGGTAAGTTTGGAGGGATCTATCTCCAAAATATATCCCAAATCTAGCCATTTAACCAACCATCTCATCACTTCCACCACTACAGCCTTGGTCTGAGGTAATCATTCTCTTCTGAGCCACTGTAATAGTCTTCTAACCTGTTTTTCTCTTGTTTTCTTGTCCCACCTCAGTCTTGCTTCCACACAGAAAGTAGTCAGAATCATTATGTCACTCCTCTTAAATGCTTTATTCATCTCTTATCACACATCCACTCACCTCCTTGGGGATTAGAATTGCATCTTTCCTGTTCACCACTGTGACCTTAGGACCACGAACAGTACCTGGCACACATAGACACTGACAATATATAGATGCCTGACTGAATTTGAACTTCTTTTATTCTGATTGTTTTACTTACTAAGCAACCTGTTAAGTTTGTTTCCCAAGTCAGCTTCCTTTCTGGTGACAGATATAAAAAGTCATCAAACTAACGCCCCCAGCAAATGCAACCTATCACCCAGTAAGTGAGGATAGTTTTTACATTTTCAGTGCACTGCTGAAAAACAACAACAAAATAAAACACACCAAAAACCAGAAAGAAAGGAAGTAAGGAAGACAGAAAGAAAAGAAATATGCAACAGAGACTGTGTCCCTAATGTATTTATACTTGGTCCTTTGTAGAAAAAAGCTTATAGCCAGCCTAAGTTGTATATCCATTTAACTGCTCTATTGATCAGTAAATTGACATCCTACTTTAGAAACTCATCTGTTATAAAATTCTGTACCCCAGTATTTGATTACCTCATCTAACATGGAGAAGCTCAAGTTGAAATAGATCTTTATCTTCTTCTTTCTGTATGATTTCTAAATGAGTATTAGGAGAATTTACAAGAGGAAGCATTCACTTTCCAGCAGAGTGCACTGAGAAGCCTTCATAAAGGATGTGGTACTTGAATTTGACCTTGTCAATGGATTGATTGGCATATTGTTTGGACATGTCATTTAATCTTGGTGGGCTTCGCTTTGCTCATAAAGGGAATGAATTAGATGATTCTTGAGTTCTTCCATCTCCATGCCTTAATCTTGAATATCCAACCAAGAATTCCAGATATTAGTGTTCATTAGATGCAAAGGATGTGATGGAAATACTGTTTTAGGAAAGCTAAATTGGTGTCACCATGCAGTGCAGATAATAAATTTGAGTGGAGCTTTCCACCTGGTATGGGTATGTTAAGTTACTGATTCCCTCAGTCTTAGAGACAATTCCCTGGGCCAATTACTTCAGGTTGAAGGTAGCCTCATCTCTTCACTCCAGTGTTGAAGAAATATTGCTATTTTCTATGGGTGTCATGATGTAAAAAGTTTGGGAAAGACTGGATTAGAAGGGGGAAAAAAGTTTAAAGGCTGTTCTGTGAAGACTCACCATACAATGAAAAGAGTTTAATGAAAACAGGGGTTCTTTGTTCTTGAACCCAGTTTATATATGTACCTTAGGGAGTCCATGAACCCTTGATGACATATTTAAATTTTTGCATCATGTGGACAATAATAATAACAGTGACAACAACAGCATGATTCAGGTACCTTTCTAAGCACTTTATGTCTTAATTCATCTAATTGTCATAGCTCCATGAGCTACTCTTTTGGACCAGGTATTTTCCATTTACCATTCTCTACCCTTCTGTCACTTAGAAGGGTGATGTAAATCTCCTTAAGCCCTGATTTCAGATTTGGGCTCAGCAAGTGGGAGGCATCAGTAAGAAATCAAAGGATGAGAGAAAAATGACTCCCTGTATTGTTATCTTTTCCAGGCTGGGACTAGGCTGTCACAAGCAGAGGTCTAGGATACAAAATTTAAAGAGGCACTCACTCTCAGGCTGGCACTTGGATGAACCTGAAAGCGAGTGCCTCCTAAGTGTTCTGCTGGATGTACCTGCTTGCTTTACGCTCGTCCTTGCCCTCATCCCTCCACTGGAGGCCAAGTCTCTCTCAGACTTAGGGGTAATAATGGCTCTCCACCATTACCAGCCCTTGGGTTTTATACCATCCTTTGTTTTCCTAACCCTACCTCATCTGCATAAATGCTCTCTTTACTAATTTTTTTTTTATTTGTGCAACTTAAAGGATGCATTTTTTCCCTGCTTGGATCCTAACTGATAGGTTTACTGCCATAGTTTAGGTTCCCCTAAAAGCAGAGCATGGATACAAGTAGTTTATTTGGGATATGATCTGATGTGCGGGAGGGGGCAGAAATAAAGACAGGGAGAGTGAGATAAGGAAGGAAGGATGAATAGTAAATTGATTATCCTGTAAGGGACCCTCTGAGAAACAACGTAGACTGCCTCGGAGTTATCCGAGGGAGTAGGATATCCAGGGCACCTGAGTGGCTCAGTCGGTTAAGTGGCTGCCTTTGGCTCAGGTCATGATCCCAGGGTCCTGGGATGGAGCCCTGCATCAGGCTCCCTGCTCAGCAGAGAGCCTGCTTCGCCCTCTCCCTCTGCTAGCCCCACCACTTGTGCTTTCTTTCTCTGTCAAATAAATTAATAAAATCATTAAAAAAAAAAAAAAGGAATAGGATATCCGCTGACTGCCGTCCACTATTGGTTGAGGGTTGTCCCCAGGAATTTGAATTTCCAGATACTTTCAGGCTATGCTGCCACTGGAGAAAGCCCTGAGGCAGAAGAGCAGAGTTACGTAACTCAGCATGCTTGAGGTGGAATTCTAGCAGCTACCCAGAACTTTTCTCCATCACTGGACTGATTTCAAAGTGGGCTGAGGGGCACGAAAACATCTGCTTCACGTTTGTACTGTTACTTTCTCTATTTTATAGATGGTGAAACTAAAGCTGGGGAATTAAGTAATTTGGCTCTAGTCACCCATCCAGTAGGTGGCTTCCCATCTGCCCATGGCAGATAACTCAAAGTGATCTGTGACCCCAAAATGACCCATATCCAATGGACTAGGAAAAAAATAGTATAGAAGAGAAAGAAGAACTGAAGTGAGGAACATCACTGTCAATTTGTGAAAATAGTTTGGAAGTAAAATGGTGAGGAAAAGAGGACAAAAAAATTAGTTTCAAGTCCTAAAAAGTGAAATATGATATCATCTTTGATGAAACTAGCAAAACAAAAATGAGGGAATAGTTTGGGGGTGAAATGATGAGTTTGATCTTAGACGAAGTGGAATCAGATGACAAGTCAATAGGTAATTTCAGATGA